GCCCCAGCCCCAGCCCCGCCCCTCCTGCAGCCCAGCCCTCACCTGGTATTTGGCCAGCAGCTTGCTCCTCCAATGGGCATGGGGGATGTCGTGGAGGGAGAGGCGCAGGTTATGGTAACTGTCCTTAAACAGCAGGGGTTTTGGCTCCTCCACGAGGTATCCGCCCAGGGTCCGCTCCAGCTCCAGCACCTCCTGTGGGTCGAGGGAGGGGCAACAGAGAGAGGGAGCCCATCATATTTGGCCAATGGGCCTTTTCCTACTGCAAGCTTGGGGGTTGGGATAGATTTGAGCAGAGGGAACCAGGCTGTAACGTTGAGGGCAGAGACCCAAAGCTGGACATTAGCCAATGCCCCAACACCAAGAGATTCAGGTTACACGACCATTTCCCAAGAGTCTCCAGCCCATAGGCCTCCTGGAATTTCAGGCCAGTGTGGTCCCAGCAGGAGACACTCGTTCTCCCATGAAGCCTTTTCACCTCTGTTGCATCAGTTGGCAATTTAGAGTCTGAGACAAGTCACATGAGGCTGGGAGAAAAAAGAGTTGGGAAAAGTGCACCTATAAACAGGTGTCCTCCAGGTGTATGCCCCTGCCCACTGGACAAGTTCCAAATTCCTTGGCATGGCCCCAAGAGTGTTGGGAAGCTGAGCTCTGCCTGTCTCTTCAGCTCCATTTTCTCCCTCACACTCACATACCCTGCACACTCTGGTCACACGGAGACACACCTGCCTTTGCAGAAGCTACTCTGCCTCCTGGAATGCCCTGCATCCTCTATCCGTCACATCTACTTGCCCTTTGGAGCCTGTCAGCTCTGCTGTCAAGCCTTCTCAGACCCCCTTGCCAACAGCCCGGGCCCTGAAAGCCCCTTCCAGGCTGGTGCGCCCTCAGCCCTCTGGAAGACCACCATCAGGGACCACCCGTCTGTCTCCCACCTCTAGCCTGGAGATCGGTAGGGGCAGGACTTGTGCCTGATTCCTCTCTGTATCTCGAGAGTCTGATGCTATTTCAGTGTTTGAGGAATGAATGAATGAATGAATGAATGAATGAATGAATGGCTGAATGAGGCTGATGGTGGTGGAGGGGTGCCTGGAAGGTACCACGATCTTGGGGAGGGGGATACTAAAAGGTACCATGCAGCTAGCTGGCTGGGGGTGATGTACCTTCAGTGTGCCAAAGCTCTGTGGGTACCTGTGGCCTGGCCTTACCTTCAGCGCTACAGGTGTGTCCTCCAGGCAGTAGACCCTGAGGCTGTACTCCAGGGATGTGCAGAGGGCTGGGGCAAAGATGGCCAGCTGGAGCCGCTTGATCGCTGAGTGGGAATAGGACTCACCCGTGAACACATAGGTGCCCAGCTGGTCTAACAGGATGTGGCAGGCCCTGGCCTCCAGCTGGCAGTAGCAAGGGGTGTCCAGGGTCTCCTCATCCAGGGTCACCACCTCCTGCAAGGTGAGAGTGGGGTGGGGTAGACAGGTCACAGTCAAGGCCCTGAAGGGGTCCATCCAGGTTGGGCCAGGGGAAAAGAAGGCAGGTTCAGACGGCACCCCAGCTTTGGCTCCTCACCTCCCAGTGGCCCTGGTGAGCCTGGGTCTTCAGCTGGAAGATCCAGTTGCTGGCACTGACTTCGGCACAGTGGGGCACCGTGAGAATGACGGGGCGACATAGCAGGAGGCCTGTGGGTCCACAGGTCACCGAGGGGCTCAATACTGTCTGGGTCCCTTCCAAAAGTGGGCTGGGGACAGGAGGGAGGCAGTGAGGGGAGGCCTGAAGAGCTAAGACAGGGCTTAGATGGGCGCTGGGCTCCAACCGCTGTCCCTGCTCCTGGGGTGAGAGAGCAGGTCTCCATCCCTGGGGCTCCCAGAGGTCAGGGGTTAAGGAGAGGCAAAGAAATGGCATAAATCTTCAGATTACTTCCAGGTTTTTGCTGTCACACTATGACACTCTCACAGCCAAATCTTTGCACACATTTTCAAAGATTTTGCACTCTTGGAATTTTTTTTTTTTTAATTTTTATTGATTTCAGAGAGGAAGGGAGAAGGAGAGAGAGAGATGGAAGCATCAATGAAGAGTCATTGATCGGCTGCCTCCTGCACGCCCCTCCTGGGGATCGAGCCCACAACCCGGGCATGTGCCCTGACTGGGAGTAGAACCTCGATCTCTTAGATCCTAGGTCAATGCTCAACCGCTGAGCCACGCCATCCAGGCTCTCGGAATGGTTTTGGTAGATGTTGCTAAGCTGTCCTCTGGAGAGCCAGTACCGCTCTACACTCCACCAGCTCCAGGGGCTGTGTGCCATGCTTTTGCCAGCATGAAAGCATTATCATTTGAAAAATATCTTTACAAATTCATGAAGCAAAAAAACTCCCAATAGCTCACGGCTGTCTGAATTATCACTTGACTACAAATTAGGCTGAACAATTTCTCATAGCCTATTGGCCACTGTCTGTGTGTGTGTGTGTGTGTGTGTGTGTGTGTGCGCGCGCGTGTGTGTGTGCACATAACATTGTGTATAAATCACTTGTTCATACTCTTTGCCCATTTTTGTGCTGAGATGTTCAGTTTTTCTTATTGGTCTCTAAAACCTCTTTCCATGGTAAGGAGATTAGCCTTTTGTCACATTGTAGCTAGTTTGTAAAGTGCCTTTCAAGTTATATGATTTGTTGTGCTGGTTCTGCAAGTTTTAGATGTGGACATAAGAAGATCTAGCAATATTTTCCTTGGAGGACTAACTCTGGCCTTAGGATCAGGCTTAGAAGGGGGGTAGGTGATGTCTGAGCCCAGGGTAGGCAGGCAGTAGAGAGAGAGGAAGAAGAGGGGAGCAACTTGCGCCAGGGCTGGGGTCTCTCTACTCACAGGGTGTTTTCTGCCTTGTTGATGAGGAGGTACATTTCGTAGAACTTTCCCTGGGGGATGGCTCCATTGGGCACCAGCAGGCTGACCCCTAGAGGGAGAAGGAGGTCAGCAGGGAGGGGCTGAAGGGAGTCCAGGAGCTTAGAACAGGGGATGGGAGGGAATGGCCCCAAACTTGTGGCTGGGAGAGAAAGACATTTCTTGAGCTTCAGGTGGTCACCACCAGGGAGTGAGAAGATCTGGGGACTGGGTGCAAGGAGAGGTCAGGCCACTGACGACAGGGGCCTCTGGCGTTGAGGTGGGGTGTAGAGATGGGGGCAAAGACCTATGCTGGTTCCAGACTTGGGTGTGATGTTGGGTAGGTGTTAACTGCTGGCTTTGCAACCGGAGATGGACACCCTGCCCTTTCTGATGCCCAAATCTAAGACAGCACTGTAGTTTTGTCAACTTACAATGAGGTATCCTCCCCCACTTAACAGATGAAGAAACTGAGGTTTAGGGAGTGACTGGGCAAAAGTTCCCCTGCAAAAGTTCTCCTAGTGAGGAAGAGGCAGGCCTTGACACCAGATCTTCTATTTTATAGTCACATCTTCTCCATCTGTGAAAGGGGATCAGGGAAGGCCTATCTTCTGCTGGGTGGTGCTGGGGCTATCCAGGGGATGTGCCAAAGTCAGACTGACAAGCAAGCAGACGGACCCACCTGTGCCGGGGATGCTGAGCCTTCCACCCAGGCAGCCAAAGGTGCCACTGACGCTGCTTCCCGGGTCACGGGGCAGGCCCAGGAGCTGCTGGGAGCCGAGGCTGGCGCTGCGCAGGTGCAGGAAGTGGCTGTCCCGGGAGAAATCACCAGGGTAGGTGCCAGGCGGCAGGACTCCCAGAAAGTCAGCCCGGTCTGGCAGGCCTGACCCGGAGCCGGTGGTGCTGGAGCTGTAGACCTTGATCTTGAGGCTGGGCAGGGGGTCCAAAAGAGGCGAGTTGGTCATGGGGATCTTGTCAGCCGAGTCCTGCAGGGCGTACACGGGCCCGCGGTAGATGCCAGCACTGGCTGTGAGGTCCGGAGGCACAGAAGGGTGTAGGAGCTGTGGGTGGTCTGCAGGGGTGGGGACTACAGTCAGACCCAGACGTGCCTCATGGGCCCAGTCCCACATTCTGCTCCTGCCAGGGTCCCTCCTGTTGCAAAACCCCACCCAAATGTCCAGCTGAGAAAGGCTTCAAGGACTCACCAGCCTGGGTTACCCCTCTCCTTTCTGCATCTCTCTAATCCAAACCAATCCACATAGTCATTTCCAGAACAAACTCTGAAAAGGACCCAGGAGGGAGGGGAGAACCCCACTCGGGTCTGTCTGGTCTGTCTGCCATGGCCCACTGGGTGCCCTGTCCCCACCTGCCAACCAAGTGTTCCCAGCTTCTTACTGGGCCTTGCAGTCTTGAAGTTGACTGGGTGGAAGCCTCCGGTAAGGGCGGCGGATGAGTCGGTGATGTCAGTGTCCAAGTCGCGGCAGTTGCGGCGGTAGACCACCACCCCCACCACCATGAGCACAGCCACCACCACGAGGATGGACACCACGATGCCGGCATACAGCGCCACATCCCCCGAGGACTCCAGGACTGCAGGGACAGGAGGGCTGCGTGAGGGGCGGGGCAGAGGCCCAGGCCCTGGGGGAGCAGGGGAGGCCCAAGGTCCCTAGGGAGGGGCAGGGCTGGTGCCCTAGTCTGATCCCTGCCACAACAGGCTGGTGACCTCAGGTGAGACCTCAGTAAGACCCCTCTGAGCACCAGTCTCTATAAGTAAAATGGTCCCAGAACCTCTGCCCTGCTCCCTCTCATTGTGGCAAGGAGAGGCCAAAGGACTCATTGCTCACTGCTGAGGAGGAGACAGGGTCTGTGGTCAGTCATGGGGGCCACAGTTTGTCTTGTCAGAGCTGGGATAAAAACCAGAGCCTCACTTGCAGCCCATGGCAATCTCCAGGGGACTAGAGGGCCAGGTTCCCAGCAATGTTTGCAAGCAGCAGCTCTGACCCACCCGCCTCCCATCTGTGCTGAAGGGTGGGAGGTGGGGGAGGGGCAGGATGCGGAGCAGCAGGAGGGGAATGAGATGCAGGGCAACAGGGTGGAGAGGAGGTGAGCAGGTGGAGGGGAAGGAAGGGGCTCCTTTGGCTACACTCCCCTCTCCCAGGCAGGCCACTGGGCTGGAGGATACCCAGCTCTGATGGGGGGCAGGGCAGGCTGCTGCCAGCTGGAAATAACTCCACCCAAGATCAAGACTCAGGGTCTAAAGTAGGCTGCCCAACAGCTTTCTACAGTGATGAATGAAGACATTCTATGTCTCCACTGTTCCACAAGACAGCCACCAGCCACACATGGCCACTGAACCACTGAAATGTGGCCAGTGAGACTTAGGAACTGAATTTTAAAATGTATTTAACTTAATTAAGGCAAATATAACTTTAAATAGCCACACATGGCTAGTGGTTACCACACTGGACAGCACAGGCAGAACAAAGATAGCTGTTGTGGGAGCTCCAGCCAGCACCTGTCCACTCTCTCCCCTCCCTGGGCCCTCAGGGAGGTAAGCCCACCTTCACTGCCTGGATCCCTTCAAAGCCCCAGTCCCCTGGGGTAGGCCTGAGCCTTCAACCAAGTAGAGTATGATGTCAGCCCACTTCCACCCCTTCTAGCTCCCCCACTGGCCTCAGTAGCCCTCAGGGCTGGACCTCTCTGGGGGCTTCTACTCCCTGGGCTGGGCTCTGCCTCCCAGTGTCCTGCTCACCACTGGGGGCCACTACCTGGAGATTTACACTCTAATCAGTGAACAGCTCGGCCCCCAGTGAGTTGGGTGAAGGGCTCACTGCTGATATGATTCCAGAATGATTTGGAAATTGTTTAATTACCACAGGCCAATCTCCCCAGGCAGCTTTACTGCTCCAGTGTTAGTGCAGTGCAGCCTCTAGGACTAGAGGCCAAGCCCCTCGGGGGTACAGTGTGGGGCACCACGGTGGACAGGTGTGGGCCTGCCCACTGGCCCTGTTCCAGAGAGGAAGGCCAAGGGGATGGAGCTAAGAGCAGCAGATTTGGCCAGGAAAACATTTCAGTTCAAACTCGGCTGGATCCCTGGATAAGTCCCTTCTCTTTGAGACTCAGCTCCTGCTCCTATAATGGGAGGGTCAGGATGATGCCCTAGGGTCTTTCTGTCGGCCGAGGTCTGCCTGTCTGCATGTAATGGAGGCAGTGACACTCGCAGCATTGGGGCCTGGGAATCCTGAGGAGGGTTGGTGGGGAGGCACCTTCAACTCACCCTGCCCTGCCCCCCACACCCTGGAAAAGCCAGCCAAGGAGAACCCCAGAGGAAAAAAGACAGCCATGAGATGGGACTTACGGTGGCTTTTGGGGTCACTTAGAGTTTTCTTATCTGTCGAGGGAAATAAAGGGAAAGACAATGACATAGGTGGCAGGGAAAGGCGGTAGAGAAGGCGACGGAAAATGGCACAAATGAGATGATGGATGTGGTGGGTGGGCAGAGGCCCCGAGGGGCTGCTCTGCTGGGGGCTGGGCACTGAGGCCTGGGGGTACGGCTGGGGGTGTCCCTTATCTGATTTCCCAAAGACTCACTTTGCATGCACAGCCCATCGGTGCAATTCTTAGAGTCGAGCAGGGTCCCGCTGCAGTCTCGGCCTCCGTTCTGGGGCGGGGGCGCCATGCACTCTCGGCTGCGCCAGTGGGCACACTCGGTGCTACAGGCCGACCACTTGCTCCACTCTGTCCACGCCCCATCCACTGTGGGAGCACAGCACATGGCACATGGGAACACATGCACATACAGACACACGCACACAGTTATGTGCACAGAACACAACCATGCACCACGCAGGCCATCCAGAGAAATCCAGGCCACATCCACACAGCCCCTCACCAATGCACAGTCAGATACACCAGGTGGGCAAAGAGAACACAAGTAGATGCATAATGTCACTCACGCAGATGCAGCCCAATGCACAAGTACATACACAAGGATACAAATCCAAGAAACATCATACCACTCACACAAACATGTAACCAGAGAGCACACAGCCAGACAAACAAGGACAGACATACAGATGGAGAAGCAGTCAGACAAAGACAAAAGAAGAGGATTACGGTTGGCAACCATGCTGTGCCTGACAGGTACAAGAGCACAGCCTCCCTAACTCGGGGCATCTCTGGGACCCTGGCCAGGGGGCTGGCACCCTCGGCTTAGAGGGGAGAGAGCCCACCCCTCAGACTGCAGCTCAGAGCCTCTGCTTCGTCTCTCCAGCAGCCCAGGGAAGAACAAAAGGTCAGAGGTCATAACATCTAGTCCAGCCTTTCAGCCAGCTGTAGGCTCTGGGACAAGCACCTGCTGTTCCCCACGATGGGGAGAGAATGGCTGTCCTGACTGGCAAACCCCACAGCACAGAAGACGGCTGGGGGCTGGGCGAGCGCCTGATGTGGGCAGGGTATCACCTGGCCAGAGGCCTTACCTGGGCACACAGTGGTGCAGGAAGTCTTCTGGAAGGCCTGGCCCTCGCAGAAGGCGCCTCCGTTGAGTGGGGTAGGGTTGGTGCAGGTCCGTGTGCGCTTCTGCCAGCCGCGGCCGCAGCGGTTGGAACAGGGTGACCACTCTGCCCAGCTGGACCATCCGCCATTCACTGCAGGGGCAGCGGGTGTCATCCCATTGGCCTGGCTCTGCAACCCCATGGACCCCCAAACCCCATCCCTCCACCCTTGACGAATCTTCTGCTGAGGCTGGCCCTTCCTAGTTGGACGCCCCCTAACTGCAGGGTTAGGGGCTCAGATACCAGCAGGCAGACCTGGCTGCAGCCATCAGCACCAGAGGGAACCCTCGAGGTCACTGTCTATTCCCCATGCAATGTCAGACGAAAATCCAGAGAGGGCTGACTCCCAGGATCCCCCTTGAGTAATGGGGGACCTAGTATGGTGGTTCTTTCTACAACACTCCAAGAATCTCAGCTGTGGCTCCACCCCTCCCACCCAAGGGGACAGCAAGGAACAGCCTACAGGCCTGGCCAGCAGACCCTAACTGCGAGGACAATGGGCTTGGGGGTGGGGATACCGACTGGGCCCTGCTCCAGCTCTGACTCCAAGAGAACTGGGTCTTCTTCAGGGACAGGAAACAGCCTAAGAAGGGGACCCAGGGGTGCTTCACTTGACCACTAGCTTTGCTATGTAACCTTGGTGGAGGCACCTCTCCTCTTTGACATTCATCCTTCCCACCTGCTCCCCAGGGTCCTGGTGGTGTCCTGTGTAGGGCGGGTCAGGGGCCATCTAACCCTGGGCCCTCCCCGCTCCCTTGGCCATGCCCGACCCCCACTCTGGCCCACACCATAGACGATGATCGTGGCGGTGGTGCTGCGGCGCTTGGCCACGATGTTCTTGGCCACGCAGGTGTAGTTGGCGGTATCCGACAGGCGCGCCTGGCGGATGATGAGGTTGTGGTCAATGGTGAGCAGGAAGTTGGTGTCCTGGGTGGGGTCGATGATGTCCTCATTCTTGAGCCACTCCACCTGCAGGGACAGGGTTGAGGGGCGTGAGGACCTGGGGCCTGCTCCCCTGCACCCTGGGAAGTGGGCCTTCTCTGGAGCGTTAGGGAGGTCAGAACATAAACAGGACAGCAGTTTTATCCATGTGCTCCCATGGTGGTGACACAGTGAGGCGGGGCCTCCACGAGCCAGACACGGTGCTAAACATGACAGAATGCAATGGTTAAGACGACCACCCACCAGCTGTCGGCCTTGAGAAGGGACTTCCAATCAGCCTCAATTTCATCCAATATAAGATGCAACTTAATAGCATCTGTCCTGTAGGGCTGTGGGATTGAATGAGTTAATATACGGTGAGTGAGGAGCAGTGCCTGGCGCAAAGGAAATATAAAGTAGCATCTGCCTTCATCACAACTGTTCATCCTGACTCCCTCAGCCAGGGTGAGAGGCCTGGCAGATGATTGAGAATATGGTCCCTGGGTTCAAATCCCAGCTCTCACACTCACTAGCCAGGTTACCCTGGGTGACCACTCCATCCCTCTCAGCGGTATTTTCCCAGCCATAACCCAGGGATGATGGCATCCACCTTGCAGGGCTTCTATGAAGACCAACATGCCAAGTGCCCAGCCCACGTGGGAGTCCAATGAGACAGCTATCATACAGGTGTCTGTCTGAACACATTTTGTAGATGAGGGCACGGGCTAGAGGCAGCTAAGTGTTTAGAGCAAAGTTCTGGGGTCAGCTGGGCTGATCCCAAGATGGAAACAAAGGGCCCCATGTCCCTCAATCCCTGTTCTGCTGGTATCCCTGGCAGCAAAGCTGAGCTGTTCCCCATGCCCTGCTCTAACTCCTGGACCACCAGTGCAGGGAGTGGGAGGGGCAGCCTGTCTGGAACACAGCAGGGGTGGCGAGAGGGGCTAGGTGGGCAGGGCCCAGGGATGAGAGGCTATATGGTAAGGGGGAGGGGTGGGCAGCTTGTGGGACAAGTACACACTCAGAACATGCATTAAAACCCTTTGGTGTCCGTAAAGCTTAGCCTTGGGTCCTGGGTGGGGCAGGGGGAGATGGTGTATACAGCTACTTCCCTTGAAGGAGACAGCCTGAGGCCTACTCTAGGAGCCTTGGGGGTTCTTGCCCCAACTCTCCCTCATCCCATGGGGTTGAGCCTGCAGAGAGCCCAGCTGGGGTCTGGTGTGTGCTGAGTCCTGTGGAGGCTGCAGTTCCTTCCTCTGTGAAATGGGGAGGACTCTGGGAGCCTGAGGCATCACGGCTGGTGGTAAATACCATGCTGGTTGGCCTCTGCCATGTCCAGCATTCCCCATGTCCCCACTCACCTCAGCCACAGGCACCCCCTCTGGTGGGCGGCATTGCAGGAGAACCTCGTGGTCCAGGGGTACTTCCTTGCCCAGAGGTTCCTGGTCGAAGTTCTTGCGCAGGTCTGGGAAGAGGGAGAGAGCAAGGCACAGTCAGAGAGGAGGACAGTCTGGCAGAGCGGGAGAAGGAAGTGCCCCATTCTAGCCACAAGGTGGCAGTGCACACCAAGGGAATATTCATGGAGACACGTGGCTTTTACTTGGGGAATATCCTAGTCTCCAAAGTGGAGTCTTACCGGGTGGAGTTGTGGGAACAGGGTTCCCTCCCTGACTATGGCATTCTAAGCACATGGTAGTCTGGGGTGGTGAGGAGGCTGGCAGCTTCCTTAGAGAGACATAGGTGAAAACTTTGGGTCAAGGGTGGTCTAGGTTCTGGGTCTCTAAGTCCTCTCTGAGCTGGTATCCATGGGCCCTAATGTCTCTGCGGTGGGTGTCTTCAGCCAAGTACCCCCATAGATGTGGAATTCCCTCTCCAGGATCCACAGGGAAGGAGAAAAGACCCAGGGAATGGAGTGGGTGGTGTCAGAGCGGCGTACATGCGATGCGGACATAGGCCCGGCGACTCTTGGTGGTGCCTGCAGAACTCCAGGCCACGCACTGGCACCAGTAATCCTCCAGCCCAAACAGTTCCTCCACCTGCTGTCGAGACACCTCGATCTGCACCTCTCGCCCCCGCAGGCCTGGGAAGAGGAGAGGGACACTGTCAGGGGGCAGGTCTGAGGACACAAGACATAGGACACAGCATCATGACATCTCTCTCCTTTCTAACCCGAGTCTTTTTGGCTCTTCAGCCAAGTAGCTCTCATTTCCATCTAGTTTCTCGTCTCTTCTGCCTCCACCCTGACCCTAGTCACCAATGCAGCTCACCCGGAAATTGCAATGACTAAAACAAGCCATCTTTTCCCATCCAATCCACTTTCTCCTCTGCAGCCAGTGTGTGCTCTTGAAAATGCCCAAACGGCATGTCATTCCCTAGCTGTGTCTCCAGTCCTCTCAGCTTGAAAACCCAGATCCTCCGCCTGGCACCCAGGCCCTGCACAGTCTACTCACTATAGCCTCACTGGGTGTCCTCCAGTCCCTCATGTTACCCTGGCCCCTATAGCCACAGGGTCTTTGCACATCCAGTACCCTGCCTGGAACTCTTTCCTGTCCCCTCTGTGTTCAGTTAACTCCCAGTCAGCTTTGGGCTGGGCCTCACTTCTGGAGAGAAGGCCCCCTGATCCTGTCCACATCCACCTGCTCTCAAAGTACTGCTCAGTGACCCCCTCTCCCCCCACACCAGACACTGCTCTGTGCAGTTATCATTCCTGCCCAGCCTGATTTCCTCCCAGCACCGACCACTCTCTGGAACTGCATTACTTATTGATGTGTTCTGTTCGTGTGTTAACCGTCTATCTCCTGCAAGAGGATGAGGAGGGGCTTTGCCTGTTTACTGCTGTCGCCTAGAAGAGAGGCTCACCACACACCTGAAGAGAGCACGTGACCTCTCCCTGCTCATGGCTCAGGAGCCTGTGAGGCTGGAGCTGAAGGGAGGGCCCTCTTCCTGGGAGCCCCCTGCCAGGACCTAGAGGCCTCCCTGGATTACCGTATCCACTAGCCCACAGACAGGGAATCACTCACTACTCACTCTTCTGCCAACTCTTTTTTTTTTTTTTAAATATATCTTTATTGATTTCAGAGAGAGGAAAGGAGAGGGAGAGAGAGATAGAAACATCAATGATGAGAGAGTCATTGATCAAGCCCGCAACCAGGCATGTGCCCTGACCGGGAATCGAACCCTGATCGCCTGGATCCTAGGTCGATGCTCAACCGCTGAGCCACGCCCGGCCAGGCTGCCAACTCTCTCTTGACAAAGCCTTCTATGCTCAGGAAAAAAGTGAGCCCTCCTGGATTAGGGTACTCATCTGAAGCTCCTCCCCAAAGCCTGTGGGAGAACTGTGAAGACCCCCCCTCCTCCAGGAAGCCCTCCTGGACTCATCTGTCTCAGAATTCCTAAAGCTCCTCCTCCTTGCCATGATGTGTCCCAGCTCACCCCTTTATGGCTGTACATGGGTTCTGTTAAGCCCCTTGAGGGCAGGACTGTTGATCGTATACATGTACTGTGGCATGGTGATTAAGCGTAAAGTTAGACAGATGAACAGGTTTGAATCCTGGCCTCACCCTCACTCTCCAGCAGTGTGATCTCCACTAAGTTACTTAGCCTCTCTGAGCCTCAGGTCCCTCATCCCAGTAAAACACTCAGGGTAAACTCTAAATGAGTCACGGCACTTACTTGGCCACAGCACACAGCTCAAGCTGGGCACAAATCCACTCTGCTGGGTCATCTGGATCTTGTCCAGACCCTTCCTTTTACATTTGGAGAAACTGGGACTCAGAGAGGGCAGGTGGCAGGCCCAAAGTCCCACAGCAAGTTGCCAACAAAGCTGAGATCAGCAATCTTGGTGTCCTGCCAGGTTGGACCTCTGTCCCCTAATACATGATGTCTCTCTGGACCTCTCCCAATACAGTCATTGCCTTAACACTCCTGCATCATGGGTGGAGGGGCTTACCCTGGGGAGCCCCTCCTGACGGCCAGGGTCCTAAATGGGAGAGGGCTAGGGTGTGCTGTCGGGGAGTACCAGGAGGAGAGACGCTGCTTTGGGGGTGGATGGGTGGGTTCTGCCTGCTCACAGTGGCTGCCTGGCGTGCTGGCTGGAGGCGGGAGAGCAGGGTCCCTGACCTTCACTTTCCAGGTGGTGAGCCTGAAAGTGCTTCCTCTCAAGGGGACCAGCCATCCAGAAGGTTTCAGCAACACCCAAAGTTAGACAGAGGGAAACCATTATCCTGGGCAGCCTGACACCTTGGTAATGGTCCCAGCAGGCAGAGAGGATGGTCAGGCTTTTGGTCTCCTAGACGTGGGCCCCAGCACCGGGTGTCCTCCCCAGTGTGATGGCGGTGAGGCAGGAGGAGCCTGGGCCAGGACACAGCACTGGGCTGCTGCCCCAACCTGGCATGAGTTGCCACCAGTCCTGCCTGTCCTGGCCCAACGCTGTCATCCTCTGTGTTTTCAGGCCTCAGAGAGCGCCAGGGAAGGCCAGGGGTGGGAAGCAGGAGGCTCAATCCGTACCAGCCACACTGCTGCCCAAGGGACCACTGTCCATTCTTTGTAGCTAATAAGACAACAGTGCCCCAATTCCTCGGGCTGCTGGGGCTTGCGTGCCTGGTAGCAGGGGTGTAAGAGCCACAATGTTACTATTGCTCATAATCGCAGGGGCTGTGAGGGTCCCCAGTAGGGTACACTGTCCCCTTGCTCTGCCACAACCCCACGGCTGACCTCTGATACAGGCCAGAGGGGCTCAGGATAGAGAAGGAAGGCCAAGTTTTTAAAGAAAGACAAGAAAATCCCAGAAAGAGGGCGGAGGAAATAGATATTTATGGAGTGCCCGCTGGGTCCTGGCACTGCGCTTAGCGCTGTGCAGGAACCACCTAGTTCCATCCTCACCAGGACCTTCCAACAACCTCCCAGTTTACAGAGAGAGGCATGAGCTCAGAGAGGTCGAGTGACTTCCCCAGTATCCCTCAGCCAGACAGTGGGGCCAGCTGGGGTATGTTTTTTCTTTTAAAAATTCCTTTTATTTTTAGATTTTGGGTGAGAATGCAACTCCAAGTCTATTTTTAAATGTTCTTTTAAAAGTTTGGCAAAATGTACATGATATAAAACACCATTTTAACCATGTTTAGTTCAGTGGTATTAAGTACATTATGGGGTATAGTTTTAAGCCTGGGTGGTTCTGAAATGTGTGAGCTTTTCACAGAAAAACAGAAGTTGGAGGAGAGAGAAAGTAGGAGAGAGAGTGAGAGAGAATGTCAGAAGGGACAGAGAGTGAGGTGGAAGGAGAGGAGGGAAGAAAGAAAAAGAGCGAGGGTGGGGGGCCCTGGCCCACGCTGCTCAGTGGTTAGAGCGCATGTTCGATTCCCAGTCAAGGGCACGTACCTCGGTTGCAGGTTCAATCCCAGGCCCCAGGTCGGGGCCTGTGCAGGAGGCAACCAATCGACGTGTGCTTCTTTCACATCTCGCCCTCCCTCTCCCCCTCCCTCCCTCCCACTCCAAAAATCAATGGGAAAAATATCCTTGGGTGAAGATTAACAACAACATAAAAAAGGGGGGTGGGGAGAGAGGGAGAGGGAGAGGGAGATGGGGAGAGAACATAAGGGGAAAAGACAGAGACGGGGTAAGAAGGGAGAGGCAGGCATGGAAGGAAAGAAGAGGCCAGAAAAGGAGAAGAAAGGATTGCGGAGGAGACTCCAAAGCACAAGCCCAGGCAGGCACCGGGGCCAGGGAGACGCCTTGAGCCTGGGCCTGGCTGAGGCTGCTCGACACTGCGGCCTGCGGGTGACCAGCAGTGGGTGGCCCCCTCCCTGTCCTGAGCCCTAAGGGTTCTTATACTGCAAATAGGCCTGGGGACAGATAGACCCCCACATAGCCTTGGGGGCACCACTGGGGCAGGCCAGGCTCTGGGAGATGTGAGGAGCCTGCCTGGGCTCTGTCTCCTGTTCCCCACCTATCAGAAGCAAGGGGTCTTACACTCCATACACTCTCCTCTCTCCCTGGGGTTTGGGTTATATCCTGGCACCACCATCTCTATGATTATTTACTTAATATTATCAGCCTTCCTTAAAAGAGAACAATTAATTTCTATGAGGGAAACATAGTATTATTACTATGAATGGAAACTTTCACTCCCACGAAGGGAGAAGACCGGTGAAACTAAGGATGGTCTGGAAGCTTGGTTAGGCGCTGCCAAGGCCAGGGCTGCCAGACACAGCAGCTCCTCTTTGTTAGGGCGCACAGCAGGCGCTGGGGTGCTGGTGAAAGAACCCTGGCCCCCGAATGGACTTGCTCCCTCATATGAGCAGGATGGAAAGAAACTGGAAAAGGGGACAAGCGCTCCCTCATATGAGCAGAATGGAAAGAAACTGGAAAAGGGGACAAGCGTTCAACTCAGCAAGGGATTAGGTGCTATCTGATTTGATCACCCAAAGTCAGGCTGGGACAAGCGGCCAACCCTTGGGGAAATACTGATCCAGGGTGAACCACAGAGGGGAAACTGAGGCCCAGAGGGGTGCCACGGCTTCCTGAAGACTCCCACAGAGTCTAGGATGAAGTGAAGCCCAGGATCCAGTGTCCCTGACACCTCTGGGCCTGGTAAGTCTCAGGTGTCCTGGGGTGACTAGGCAAGTAGGGTGGCTCACCGGTGGCCTCATCCCGGCCCTCCTGCGTGACATGGTCATTCTGGCTGACCCACTCGCCGTTGCACTTGAAATAGATCTGCGTGGCAGGGAAGGCGCGGCAGCTCAGTTCCACAGGCTTGTTCTTCACGATGTAAGCGTCTTGCGGCTCCTGGAGGAAGTGGGGCAACTGCTCAGCCGGCGCTGACGGGTAGGAGTCAGGGAGCACCTCGCTGCCGGAATCAGTGCCTGTGGAGGGAGGGAGGGAGGGAGGGCTCTGTGAGGCGGCAGGCTGGGGAGGCCAGGGGTACCCACTGATCCCCCAGGGGCCCATGGCGGAGAGAAGGGCAGCCGGAGACCTGCTAGAGACGCCCTCTGTGACCCGGACAAGGTCTGGCTCCCCTGGGCCTCAGTTTCCCTATCCTGCTCTGCTGTTAGGAGGCTCTGCTGTGAAGCCAGTCCCAGCTCTATGATGCTATGTGTGATCTTCCTTACAGATGGAGAAATCAGGGTGACCTGGGGAGCAGAGGTGACCCATCAAAGCAAGGACACCCCTACGGCCCTCCCCAGTGTCTCCTGTACTAGCCCTAGTCGGCCTCCCTTCAGTTTCCAGTGGTGATACCACAGTATGTTCGAGGCTGGAGCTCAAACCGGGCCAGCTCTGCCCCGAAGCCACAACTGCCCTTTGCAGCCTCAGCGGGCCAGGCTGATGGAAGTGGGGAGAAGATCCAAGACCCGCAAGGCCATGGGGTAGGGCGAGGTAGGGTGGCTGCACCAAACCTGGGCCCCCTGGTGCAGCCTGGCGGGCCTCCTCCTCCAGGAAGCCCAAGGCAAGTGGCAGCAAGGAGGGGCAGACTCCCTCCCCAGCAGCCTCCACCCTGAGACTCCCTCCTCTGGTCTGGGGCTCTGATCCACCCCGTAGCCGGTCCCACCTCAGCCAAATCCAAGCACTCCGCCCTAAGGATGAGGAAACTTCAGGGCTGGGAACACAGTGGGGCTGTCAATCTCTTCCCTGAAGGGGCCGAAAAGAAACCCTGGCTGCCTGCCTCCCTGGAAAGAACAGCACCTCAGGAGGTGAGACAAACAGGAAGGGAGAGCAGCCAGCCACCCCCAGGGCAAGGATGGGGGGAATCAAGCCGGGCCAGGCTATTGGTTCACAATCCACTTAGGAAAATTGACTTTCCAATGCCAAGCGCCAAACGATCAGGTGGCTGGGGATGCGCAGTAGGGGGCTTGTCCTCCTCTGCTAACTGCTCCAGAGGAAACAACACATTAAGCTGCAGGGGTGCCCATGTCTGCCCCGCCCTCACCAGCCAGCTAAGTCCCTGTCACTGTCCCAGCGTTCCAGTGCCCTGGGATCATGCGCTTGTTGGACAGAGTAGGCAGAAGCATGGGTTTCATGGGCTCCAGGCTCTGGGCTGTGTGTGTGTGTATGAGAGAGAGA